AATTGGAAATGAATTAATGGTGTCACGATACATTTTAATCTTCTAAATCCTTCTATAACAAATTGTTTTCGATATTTTCATATTAATATTCTAATATAGAAAATGTTTTCCGGACAATATCATTATAAAAATGTAAAATATACCCAAACTGAGCATTTAAAACGATTTCTTCGTTAAACAACAAGTAAGGAATATTATTATAATAAAAAGAGTCTGTACAAGGTACAAGTGCGTCCTTAATGTATAAATATACTCGTCAATTATGTAGCTCCGTCATAAATGACGTACAGATAAAAAGGTATCAAACATGTAAAATTTTCATTTAAAGAATCTGATGATCAGCATGCATATACAGAGATAAGTTGATTGTTGTATATGAGTAGAAAGAAGAAAATGCGATATGAAAATTTTCATAGATGTTACAGAAGGCATGTGGGAAATACATTATCATAAATGCTTTTATTAATACTGAGCTTCAGAATGTCTAGAGATGTAATCATCAATATTGGGAAGTAATCAGTTAAAAAAATTGGAAATTTTGCTTGAGGACAAAATTGTGTCACGAACAAAATTATCATTCATGTATTAAAATTTGCTATTTATATTTTGTTTGGCAGTGTTGCAAAATGCTTCTACTTTTGGACCACAGTTTCGTTATTCTTATAGAACAAAATTATGAACTAAATGTAAAATTTGTGTAAATAGAGATTTTACTAATGGCTCATAATTCGTATTTACATATAGACTGTGGCTGCAACTGTTACAACAGCAACTACGACACCTGCGACGGTGACTGCCGCTGCCACAACTACGCCTACCTTACCTGTTACTACTGTTCAAACGGTTCAAACACCTACACCAGTATGTATCACACCTAGTTAATATAATTAAAAAGTATTTAAAAATTTGCAAATTTTACATATTTCTTTTTATTTTTAGCGTCAAACTACAGATAATACCAAAGAAAAGTGCCGTAAATTTCTAGCAAACTTATTAGAGTTGTCTAGTCGAGAACCTAAAGCGGTGGAGAGAAATGTTCGAACTTTGATACAAGAACTAATTGATACTAAAGTTGAACCCGAGGAGTTCTGTGATAGACTTGAAAGATTATTGAATGCATCACCTCAACCATGCCTGATTGGATTTCTCAAGAAAAGTTTGCCACTTTTACGGCAATCCCTCGTGACCAAAGAACTGGTCATAGAGGGGATAAAACCTCCTCCAGCTAATGTTGTCTTTCCTATAACATCTGCTACTCCCGTAGTACCACAGGTAAAACGTGTAGATTTATTTTTATCTATAGTCCTAAGCATAATTTTGGTAATATGTACATTAGTCGATACATATTGGTAGGCGAATTCGTGTAATAGCGACTTTATTATTAGAGGCAGTTATAGTAGAATTCGAAATATTTTCTATTTATATCTCTTCATATTCTAGATATATCATTATTTTTAGTATTAATGTTCCTTTTATAATACCATGTAGCAGAATCAGCTTAGACCAACTGTTGCTGTGGCAGCTGCAAC